TATATATATATATATATATATATATCCACATCTATGTATGTGTTCACATATGTGTATGTATAAACACACGCGCGCGAGCGTGTTGCATCAAATTCGAACTTCCCATCTTTTCCAGTTTGAATATAGGCAGAAAACCAGTTTCAGTTGTTTATATACAACTCCGCCCCCATCTACGTCCTTACCGAAGACGCCCTACGTCGGAAACTCACTAAAATGTAAAGTTTCACTTGTAAGGTCGAGTGTCTCCTGCCATGGCTAGAGGGAAAGTTGCTCGTCATCAAAACAACAACAGGAAAAAATACAGATAATACATGTTTTCTTTATTTTCCATATTTTGTTTTTTCTACCTAAAGGTTAACCCCTCCTCATGCTATCCCCAATCACAATCGAATTTCTGAATGTTGATATAGCAGTTTCTTTCCTCGTGTTAAGTACCTCAAACAATTAGAAAGACCTACAGCCATCATGAAACAACTGCAGAAGAAGGAGTCTCTTTTGTCTTAAAGGAAGAAAGCCGTTTCTACATTGGTTGCGGAGGAAACAACTTGAAACAGCAGTTTGGATATTTGACTAATTTCAGGTAAGGTGACAAAATATGTTGTTTTCCCATGTTACAAAGCCTTATTTTCCTCAGTATGCTTTGCGCGTTCGAAATGTATTATGTTCTCCCATAGTTAATAAGGCCCTATAGTTTTTCCTCAGTATGTCGTCCCCATTCGCCATATTGCCCAATTGTTTTTATTTCTATTTTGTGTGTGAATTCTCTCAGAAAATTGCTAAACATGATTTACTCGGCGAAGAGGATAAGTAGAACATAGGTTAAAGACACTACAGTGACGCCAAGCAAGATCCTTAACACGAATGAAGCATGAATATAATGGCAAAATATACACTAATATATGCATACTTCCGATCAGTCCGGTGTGCATCCTCACTGATTTACTCTACGTTTCACACCTCATAGAAACCCGACTTTCACAATATTCACCTTGTATCCATTACCAGACAGCTGTCAGCCAACCTCTAGTTCACAATATATTAGATTGTTCAGACTCCAAAGTTATGCTTGAGTCTGACCCAGTCTCTTTTCTTATTCACCCCCTCACCCCCTCCAGGATAACATGTATATTCTGTTTTTTTTTTTTTTTTTTTTTTTTTTCAATACGCATATGTATGTATAACAGTGATGTTCATCCGTACTTATATGTGATCATAATGAACGAAGATCTAGAGCATGGTGGTTAAGGCGAAATCTTGGCTACCACATCATCCTCTGAGGCAGTAAAAAGAGAAACAAATGCAATACTTAGTATATAAGTATAAAGAGGCCCACACACGTTACTGTTGTAATATGAATATATGACGATACATATAAACTAAAGGCTATGCATGTAAAACATCTTATATAACACGTTTTTATTAGGATTATAAATGTATTCCACTACTCCGGAATCGATATATATAATATATATATATATATATATATATATATATATATATATATATATATATGTGTGTGTTGTGTATGTGTGTGTGTGTGTGTGTGTGTGTGTGTGTGTGTGTGTGTGTGTGTGTGTGTGTGTGTGTGTGTGTGTGTGTGGCGAATCAGCCTCAAAGGTAATTGTTTTGAACCAGTAACGATATTCTCTATCACAAAGGGTGTTAATGTTACACTTACATGTTCATTGTATTCTATCGCTGGCCTTCTACCTTTCGTTATTGAAAAAAAAACACAAAAAAAAGAAGAAAGAAAGAAAGAAAAAAAAAAAACTCAGGAGCATTACCATCGCCACAAAGGGTGCGTCACTTCGATACCGCTTGAAGATTATGCAGCTCATATTTAACGCGCAATTCTTCTGACCTTCATCTACGGCACTGGTTGTCGTTTTTGGTTGTTGTTTTCTGGCAGTTTCGTTATATAATAAATCTCGTATATAATATAACTACTTAGGATTTGTCATTCCAGACTGATATGGGCCCGGACCTATCAGAAACAAATTTTGATAATACACTTTCATTTCATTTGTATATTTCGTGAAATGACACACAACATAACGCTGATAATAATATATTAGCTAGAATTATTTCTTAATAACCCCCTGGCTATTTTTCGTTTTGCGGGTTTATCAGTCCACGTGATTATTTATGGACAAAATAATAGAAAACGGCAACTCATACTCCCTTGGGGCCTTAGTGACCTTGGGCTTTTCGGTGCCCACTTTTCATTATATGCGAGTCATTTTCCTTATTTTCGTTCTGGTTTCTGTAGCCAACCCACATATCGCCACATAATTTTACTACGAGAAGTATTCAGATTATATGACTTACGCTAGCAAGGTCTCTAACTCATTTACCACATAATTTAGATATATGAATCGCGAATATAGAAAAGGACAGTGTTTGCTGAATTTACGGATGAACTGATCACATGTTATGATAAGTCTATATAGTGCTGATGGTACTACCTGGGACCTGTGTTAATGGTGACATAACAACTGAG